CGGCCCCTGGAAGTCGAGGCGCCCATGGTCGCCCCCCGCGCGGGGCCGGCGGCGGCTGCGGGAGGAGAAGGGTTAAGCCTCAGCGCCCGGCAGCCTCCGCGGCGCGCAGCCGCCGCCGCACCCCTCGGTTAGCCGCACCCCAAGACCTCCCCAGCCCCCAAACTCCGTGCCGCCGGGCCCCTGGCTCCCGCCCCTCACCTCCATCCCTAGGCCCCCTCCCCAAGTCCCCCGCCCCGTCCTTGCCAGGCCCCCAACTCAGCCCCCCTTACGCTCACCCCAATTGCGCTCACCCTGCGTCCTCGCAGGCCGCCGGTCCCGACCGCCCCAGATCCCAGCCGGGGCGCCTCGGTCCCACCCGCTCGGTTCTCCCGCTCCGCGCAGTCTCCGCGCCCCTCCCCGCCTCCCCGCCCCACCCCCGTGCCGCCCGCCCCTGCCGCAGGGTCACCACCGAGCCCGCAGCCCGACCTCGCCCGCGTCGCTCTCCGCTGCCCGCGTCCTCCTAACCTGGCTGTAAAGCGCCTGGCTCCAAGCAACTGCTGTTATCTGGATCAGGCGTCCGGGCGGAAGGCTTCACATCCGTTAACTCGTTTAAAAGTCCCCACAGCCATTAAGGCAGGGCATCGGCAAGGACACTAATATTAATTCTCACACCAGCGGGGCCCTGGTGCTGCAGTGGTTAAGAGCTCGGCTACTAACCAAAAGGTCTGCAGGTTGAATCCACCAGCTGCTCCTTGGAAACCCTGTGGGGCAGTTCTTCACCTCTGTCGTACAGGGTCGCGATGAGTCGGAATCAACTCGACGGCAACCGGTTGAGTTTTGGTTTGGGCTTCCTTAACATAGCTTAGCGGTTTCTTTTAAGATGATCTGATGAGGTTTTTGCATTCAACTGTTCAGTCAAGAGCGATAGGTGTCGGTTTTGCTTTGTTTACTTCTCCAGTTAAAAGCTAGAGTCGGAAGAGGTCTGTGATAATTACATCAATTCAGAGTGAATCAAGGTTCCTGTTGATAGCTGCTGGATGCTGTCTATGTCAGTACAGGCTTCGCTTGGTTTACTCTTCCAATTTATGGACAGGCTTCAGTAGATTCAAGCTTTCGACTGATGTCCCAAGAGCGACGGGGATATAATGATCAACTTTAATTAACAGAACCAAACGAACAATTTTTATTGTTTTTTTTATTTTCCGACTACCGGGGTATGACCAAACAAGATCCATGATTTCTTGACCGTGGCTTATGCCTCTAATATACAAATATGGTCAAAACTAACATTTTCGAACTATTGAATGAGGGTGAGTGAGGCCTAAATTCACTGCTGGGAATGACAGGAGACATGTTTGCTAGAGGCATGTGTGCGCCATGCCAGAACTGTACAAAGTCTCGTCATTTCTGCGAGCTGTATGTGTGTGCGCGTTATTTACATGGGTGTGCTCGTCTGGAAAACTATGGTAGGCATGATTGATGGAACTCAACTTTCAGCCCCCTCCCTGATGTCAAGCTGATTGCATGGCTGATATCACCTGGGGGGTCTTCCTGGCCCGGCCAGTACTCATCCAAGAGGCACCTCATTAGCATACACCCTCAGGCTGGTCTGGAGGCCTCATCAAAGAAACTTCAGTGAGGCTCTTTTAGGAGCTTGGAGCCCTGGTGGTGCAGTGGTTAAGCGTTCAACTCTAAACCAAAAGATTGGCGGTTCAGATCCACCAGCCACTCCTTGGAAGCTCTATGGGGCAGTTCTGCTCTGTCCTACAGGGTCGCTATGAGTCGGAATGGAATCAAGGGCAATAGCTTTGGTTTGTCTGATTTTAGAGGTTGTCTCTCAGGAATGGAGGACAAAGACCAAATTCTTTAGGTAAAGTTAGATTCTTTACCTCATACCATTTGCTATTCCCATTTCACAGGAGAAAACAAGCTTCATTTCAAAAAGCAGCAGGAGCCAGACGCATTTCCATTTGCTTCCGGAAATGAGTGCTCAAACCAATAATAGCGCCAGCCAACCTTTACAGAGGGTTTTACCACCAGTCAGGGTAACAACCCCGTGAGGTAGGCACTGCTATGTCCTCATTTCACAGGTGAGAAAACTGAGTCCCACAGAGGCCAAGTGACTTGCCCATGGTCACACAGACCATAAGTGGCAGAGCTGAGATTTGAACCCAGGCAGCCTGGCTCCAAAATACCAATTCTGTCCAATAAAAATAAAATATGAGCCACATATATAGTTTTATATATATGTGAGTCAGCGAAAAAGAGGAAGACCCTCAATGAGATGGATTGACACAGTGGCTGCAACAATTGGGCTCAAGCATAACAACGATTGTGAGGAGGATGCAGGACTGGGCAGGGTTTTGTTCTGTTGTACATGGGGTCACTATGAGTCAGAACCGACTCCATGGCACCCAACAATAACAGCATGTAATTTTAAATATCAGCAAACAAACTCAGACATGGATTCCTGCCCACATGGACCTTACCTTCTACAGGGGAAACTATGATGAACAGTAGACATGATAAGTAAGTTATATAATAGTGTGTTGCTGTTGTAAGGTGCTGTCGATTCAGTTCCGACTCATAGTGACCCTATGTTCCAAGGCACGTGAGACAAAGTCTTGCCATTCTCGCTTCCAAGGAGCGCTCTGGCTGTACTTCTTCCAAGACAGGCTCGTTCGTTCTTCTGGCAATCCATGATATATTGAATATTCTTCGCCAACACCATAATTCAAATACATCAGTTCTTCTTTGGTCTTCCTTATTCATTGTGCAGCTTTTACATACATATGAGGCAATAGAAAATACCATGGCTTGGGTCAGGTGCACCTTAGTTCTCAAGGTTAAAAGGTGATTAATGCTACAGTAAAATAGAGCCGGTGATTTAGGAAATAATATTGGAATCATTATTCCCTGTCCTTGAGCATAGAGAACGTGACCCAGCTGGAGCTGGGCTCACAAGGACTCCCGAGGACTCCCAAGGACACATCAGCTGGGCCCTGAGATATAAAGACAATAGCTAGGACAATCTTGGAGAATATATTTTAGGGAGCCTTTCACATAAACCAATCAAACAGAACACAAAAGACTTTGCACTCTTATCTTTTCCTATTAGCATTTAGCGAATAGAAAATTTGTTGGACCCATGACGACCTTCTTGACTGTCCTTACTGAAACTTGTACCAATGATATTAAGAAAGACAGTTCAAAATGTAGGCAGTTTCTAGCCAGTCTGTGAAAAGGTGACGCTTTCAGTGGTCTTGCCCATTTGTAATGTTAATATATACTGATGGCTCTGTAGAGTTCCTCGGACTCAGGCAGACATGGCTGTGGCAGCGTGCTTGTCTGTTTTCCCGTTCTCGCGTATTCTGTAATATTCCATGGACTTGGACAGACGTGGCTCTAGCAACCTGCTTGTCCACTTCCCTACTTTTGCCTTTCTGGACATATGCTGAATAACTTTCTTTTTGCTTTACTAAACTTTGTGATGTTCCTCCCCTACAGCAGTTAATGGCGTAGTCGTCAAAGATTTCTGAAGCTACAAATCCAGTCAACCTCGAGAGGAGACCAGGACTGCGGAGCAGAAGCTGGGAAAGAGAGGCCTTATCTTCTGGACTCACGTGTTCCCACTCCACATCCCTTCGACACCGATGGGGTGAGTACCCTCGGAAAACAAGCCTTTGCTTATTCTTTTTTGTTCCCTCTCTTATGTTTTGTTTGGCATATTTATTTGAAAAACTGGTTGTTTGGTTAAGGAGAATCTTTCTTAAGATTTTTGCTTGATCGTTTGGTTAAGAGTGACATTTAGTAGCTCTTGGCGAACTGCAGTTTAGGTCCAGATTCAGGCGTTTGAAACATTAAAGAGGTAATTCTATTTTCAAAGAGCTCGGAGTCACTGTAAGCCAAAAAATTCGGGTATGGGTAGACCAGTAAAAGCCATTAGGGCGGTCTCTGGTGCTCACTGTGAGCATTAAAGACTCTCGTGACCAACTTATCCTGTTGCAAACCAGCTCTCATGCAGCTCAGGTACATATGGTCTAAGCAAAACACTGTCCAAACTCTGTGGTGTTCCTCATTAGAATTCTCTTTGTGACAGAGAAAACCTGGAAAATAGTAACCTGTTTTGCCAAATTTGCAGGGTAGGTGGCAGCTCCTGACCTGTGTTATGAAATCTGAAGGGAGAAGTGATACCTTTTTAATGATATAGTTTCTCAATAAGGAATCACAATGTTAAAATAATCAGTAGGTACTTTAAAGTACTTTCGAAACTGAAGGAAGTAGTATATTTAAGGTCTAAAATAAGAGACTAGGTGTCTAGTCAACAGTATGAATTAAGTTCAAAAAGAAGAAACCAAAAAGCTTGAACCTTATCATGGAAGCCCCATAGACACATCCAAACTCCCTGAGGGACTGAATTGCTGGGCGGAGGGCTGTGGGGACCGTGGTCTCGGGGAACATCTAGCTGAATTGGCATGACACAGCTTATAAAGACAATGCTCTACAT